CCTCGCCATCTGCCTGGACCGCGGATCTTTCCGCGACTGGGCTGAAGGCGGCCGGGGCTGCGGGTCCAGATGCACGTCTGTCTTCTTGATGCAGGTGATAGTTGAAAAGGTCTCTGGCTCTCAGATCGTGGACATTGACAAGAGGAAGTACCTGGTTCCCTCTGACATTACCGTGGCTCAGTTCATGTGGATCATCAGGAAGCGGATCCAGTTGCCCTCTGAGAAGGCAATATTTCTCTTCGTAGACAAGACTGTCCCGCAGTCTAGGTGAGAGCTATCCTTCTATCTTGTGCACAAGTTTATAGGACAAATGTTGTCCTTTCGTTTCTGGAAATTGCGGAGAGGCCTCTCTTCTTCACCAGTGCCCCTATAAAATCTTGGATAGTGGATATAGCCGCTTCCTGAAGTAGAACAACGTTCTTTCAACTAGCTAGGGCTAGCATTTCCTAGATGACTGGTAGAGCTATATGTTGTTTTTCCTAATTGCTAAATGTAAAACATTGTTAAATTCTGTTAACGTTTCACACCGTTCAATTAACCGTGCTATGTTGTTTTTCCTAATTGCTAAATGTAAAACATTGTTAAATTCTGTTAACGTTTCACACCGTTCAATTAACCGTGCTATGTTGTTTTTCCTAATTGCTAAATGTAAAACATTGTTAAATTCTGTTAACGTTTCACACCGTTCAATTAACCGTGCTTGCTTTTGCTCCTTGTTTTGATGTCGCTATCCCCATGCAAGGTGCTTAAGCACGGAGACTCAACCTTGTGCCCTCTAGGTGTTTTAAACTATTAGCTCTAGCCAATGAAGTTAGTGCCAAAAGACTGTGGGAGCCAAGGTAACAGGACAGGGTGCACACCAGATTGCCTATCTTTGTACTTGAAAAACAGATTAGGTTGAGTTAAATAATTTAAGGGAACTCTATAACAAATTTTACGTTTTTATTCTATTGCGCTATTTCATCCACTGTAGAGGACATCGTTTTCTCTGTTACTTCCCAATTCTCCTTTTCTCACTTTGTGCCATTACCTCAGAAATACAAAAAAGCTAACTATCTCGAACTTCTGCTCTCTGTGGTTCTCTAGAAATAATTTCTCTATCTAGGCAGACACAGTCAAGAGAAGATTATATATTTATGCTGGAAAAAAGCACGAACGTCTTTGTTTAATGAATTTAACAGGTATCCAGAATCGTATATTGAAGGGTTAGGGTCATGCAGCAAAGCTTAGTCTGCGGGGTTACATACATGGATCCCTAGTTTTCCTCACCTTCACCCACCCACCCTTTTTGTAAGGATTGCTGGGAAAGCAACTTGCAAAAAGGCAGGCCTGTCTGTATTCTAACCTCTTTCATCAACCCTGCCTCAGTCCTAGGGGATCAGATGTGCTTGCTCTGTTACTTTCTTAAGGCCTACTGAAGTGCTTGTTTGGCCTTCTCTCCAGCTGCACAGAAAAGTCAAATGGGTGTTTGTGTTTCTTCATCGCATGGATATGGAGTGAATTTATTTAACTAAACATTGCACTAGTTTGGAGTATGGTTTTTGCCAAGCGTAACTGGCAGATTCCCCTGCCCCACCAATACTGTTTGCTTAGCTTTCACACCAACACTTCCTCTTCAGTCTTTGTGACACCTGATAAAAGCCATGAAGACTTTACAAGACTCTTATCCATCCATGCAGGGAACAGATGGGCTATAGAATAAAATATTTTACTATAAATGTACTCAAAATAACATTACTTCTACTAAACATACTGTTTTCACTAGACAGTTCTAGCCTGCTCCTTGATGCCCTCTGGTTTTTCCTTAATGATGGGGGGAGGTACTTCTGCAAGCCCTGGAATTTCCCTGAGCTTGCCATCACGCTTCTCTTTCCCAATTGCATAGAGGTGGTCCTTTTTAAGTTACATCAAGACCAGCACTTTTGGGAATTGGGTATTTGCTAATCTTCAAGATAGGCCAGTTCAGAAAACAGATGCACAAAAAATACTGGAATTCTGCTTTCTTGATATAGGCTATAGTAATAGAATCTAGAAAGCCTGAAAGTGTTCTCCTTTTCCTCCCTCTTATACCAAAGAGAATTAAGGCAAGTCTGTCTAAGTTTGTTTCTAACATTTTCTTCCTTTTGGGGGCTTAATTTGTGTTTTGCCACATTCTTTCTCCTAGGTCATCTCTGTGGTTCTCCACAATATGTGACACTTCTGTTCAATTTTTTATGAATTTACTTGCAGAGGGGAACTTAAAACTTTTAAATTGGATTTGTACATTCCCCTCTTGTTGCTATGTGATAGTTTTCTTGCTGCCTTTTTCTTGCAGCTTAACCATGGGACAGCTTTATGAGAAGGAGAAGGATGAAGACGGCTTCTTGTACGTGGCTTACAGTGGAGAAAACACCTTTGGTTTCTGATTTCATCTCCTTCCTGCTGTTTTGTAAATAGCCTCTTGTTCTTTCATCATGACCCTGAGGCGCACATTTCATTTGTCACTGGGTTGATTTAATATATTGATAGATTTTTGTTTGTTAGCCTAGTAATTTATAAAAGTTTATTTTTCCATTGCACATGTAGCCATAGCTGTAAATTTCATTGCATCCTTCCTCTGGGACACATTTAATGGCATTATTCAAACATGGATGCAATCATAGATAAGGAATTAAAAATGATGGGAGAGGGATTTTGAAATTAATATTTGCATAATAATTAATAACTACAGTTTCAAAGAAATAGCTTCTGTAATATCCTTAAGAGTCTAAGGATGCTGATATGTTTATCTTGGTTAGCGTGTTGCTTTTACTGAATTTTGCTTAAGAAAGCAACAATTAAAGTTACTGTCACAAAAATTTTGCAATACTGCTATATACTTCAGCTTTCCTTTTTTTATAAGTAGCATTTTAAGATCAAGCATACAAAAAGTAACATTTTCAGATCGTACCAAATGATCTAGGAATGCCCGAGATAGGTTGCAAAATTACTTTTACTCCCTTAGGAGACAGAAAGTAACTTTCTTAAATTTGTAATTCTTCAGCTGAATAGTGTCAATCATTCTGCTCTAAAATATAACATCTCTGCCTGAAAGTGCCTTTCCTGCTTGAGGCAATCAGTTTCATTGTGCTGGTATGCCATCAAGTCAGCATCAGTTCTTGGCAGCCATATAGCTGAATCTTCTCCAATACTGTACTCCTTTTATCCTGCTTCTTCCAATTCTTTACTTCCACAGTGTCACACGGAAAACCACTGCCTGCACAATTCTGAGCTTTTTAGGTATAGACATGCCACAGCATCTGGCTATCTTTTCCAAGGTCTTCATTTTACCCTACCAAGTACTAGTATTTCTTAACCGCTGGTTCCTTTACAGTTGATAGTCAATCAGTCAAAGCTGAAGCTATTCAGTGTCTTCATTGTCCATTCTAAGGCTGCTTGCTGTACCTGTTGCCATTACTTTGGTCTTCTTTATAATTAATTGTAATCCCATTTCTTTCAGTGTGTGTCCTATCTCAAGTTACACAGGTATCCACAGGTTGAGTTTAACTTGTTTTACTCAGAAGCAGAGCTAACTGGCTCTGTATGCAAACACACACAACCACAAAGTTCCAGAATCTAAGTAACTTGTGTGCACTCAGTCCAAGTCCAAATTTGTGGATAAGCAAGCTGACCTGGCACATACTACCAAAACCTGGTTAGGGTTAGGGTCACAACGCCACCCTGTAATATTACTAAGTCTTCTAATCCAGCATGGTGAAGGGTGAAGGCACCAAGGAGAATTGTATATGCCTTCTCGTCTTGCCAAATTCAGAATGTTGCTCTGCCCCATTTTCAGGACAGGGAAGCATGTGGCCTACCAAGAGTTCTGGATCTCAACAAAAATCCACCATGCATTTCCATACACGAACAGGATAAACACCCAGCCAAGCAGAAGGAAAAGTGTATATATACTTCATTCCAAAATCTAGGTCCAACATGTTTTGGAAGAAAGCTTCACTTTCAGAGGAATAGTGCTAAAGCACTGACATGCTCTTAGTATTAGCTACAGTAAGAAAAATGGTCCATTAATTACGCCAATTAACCAAGGGATGCGTAAGTAACCATCAACACTGTCACTTGGTTCCTCCCCTCCTTCATGTGAAGCACAGGTAATGGCGGCTGTTCCTCACCCAGGCGCCAAAGGCTTGGCTGCGCAGTTCCTTCCAGGCCTCTTGGTACAGAGCAGCAGCTTCTTTGTACTCCCAGTACGTTCGCAGTCTCTGGGCTCTAAGAAGGGCAAATGACACCTGGGATAGGCTCCTCTGCTCTCTGGCTCAGCATGCGACCGAACAAACCTTCCACGCTACCTTTTACAGTCTTCTCGGGGCCTCCCTGCCAACAGCTGCTGAACAACCCTCCATTTGCTACAAAGATGTTACACAGGAGGAACGATCACTGGCAGTTCTGCCTTCTTTCAAAGGGAGCGTGTTCCCGCATCACAGCCTGGCAGGAAACTGAAGGTGGGAAGTGGCAGGCTCAGGTACAGAAAGTTTGGAGAGAAAAGCAATCGCCTCTCTTTACCAGGCAGGAAGTGCAAGACAGGGAAGAGGACACACAGGCTTTATAATACTTCCTAATTCAGTTCTGGCAGAACTGGCCCTCTGAATCCTTATGAGGCAACCACCAACCTGAACGTATGCTGTACATATGTTGTACATATGTTGTCAGTAATTAACTCTGCAGAGGTTGCACAATAAAGTCATCAACTTCCCACCATTCATGGCTTAAGCTGCAACTATAGCATCTGTTACCCCTTAACCAGTCCTCCTCCCATGAGCATCTTTGCTGCAAACAAAGGCAGCTTCTTCTGGCATTATGCACTCTCTTACAGAGGCATCTCCCAGGAAAGGCACTGAAGACCAAGAGCTGGTTTTTGCTGCCACAGAGAACTGGCAGATACCTGGATTACCTGAGCTGTGCAGCAGGATGTCAAACCTAAAATGGCTGGGTAGAGCTGGTTGCCAAATGACCAGCCTGTCTGGGGAATCAGTTAGGCAGCTTATATGAATGCGAAGTTGTGAAGATTTATGCTAGAAGATGACTCTGTTGATATGGGAGCCAAGAAACACACAACTACTGGTAGATCTGGCAGAGATACAAGGGACAGCAGTCAGATTGCCATGGCAATGGATAGAGGAAGGGCAACCAGCAAAATGCTACCCATTGCTGAGTGTTGGGTGATCGGACTGTGGAGGCCTTGGACTCAGGTTGTTGCTGTAAATGCCAGGTTTGTACGTAATAAGACCACATTCATCCATTTCCTATTTGTGGATAAGCAAGCCAACCTGGCATGTACTACCAAAACCTGGTTAGGCAAGGGTCACAACACCACCCTGAGACTTGTGCTTCTACGTTTCAGGTCCTGCATCAACCTCAGCATCAGCGTTAGGCAGAAGTAGCAGTAACCTTTAAAGAAAATCTGGTGACAACAGGGATAGTGCTCATGAGGTGACTGGCTGTGACAGGAAAAAGCTCTGCATGGCAGAGTTCCTTCCGGGCCTCCTGCATCTCATTACTAGGCTGGCGTTAGACTACCACCAGCTTGCAGTGCTGGAAGACTTGAACTCCCATGCCCTGGGGTGGCATTCTGGGACAGTCCAGAAATTCATGGCTTCCATGGCAACTCTGGGCTTGGCCCAGGTCATCTCAGGTCCAATGCATGTAAGTAGCAACACCTTACAGCCTTCACCTCAGATTACACAGCAGCTGCTCTATGGGGAATGAAATTCAACAGGAAGTATGAACTCCACCACGTGTGAGCTGAACTTCTGGCTTTCCTGGCTTCTTTGGGAGGCAGGTGTTGGAGTTACCAGCTGGATCAGGAAAGTAATCAACACCTTGAAGAGGGAGGGGGTGATTCCTCTGGCCTTGAAAGAGAATTCTGCAGTGATCCCACTCCTTCCTAAACTGACAGTTCCAGTTTATTCTAGTGGGGGAAAAGTTCAGCCACTCCAGTATGGGTTCTTCTCTCCCTTCCCTACTTTCAACATCTACATCTACATAAAGCCATTTGACCATGTTGTCCACTGGTTTAGGTTAAGGTATCATTAGATATAACAAGGCCAAAATGAAGGTGCAGTGGTGACCACCAGTATCCAGAGGCTGTAAAGATCTGCTTAAAGAGAACCAATCTGAAGTTGAATTCTACCAAGACCAAGTCCAGAAACCATCTGGCACCCTAACTGCTCCAGTGATCACTCTGGATGGGTCTAACACTGAAGGAGCAGATCTGGGACTTGGCAGTTCTGCTAGATTCATAATTATTGCTCAATAGACTCATGGAGGCTGTGCCTAGGGAAGCCTTTGCCCCTTCCTGGAGAAGGAGGCCTTGGCTACAGTAAGTCACACCCCTGTAGCCTGGGAGGGGCAGCCTCCAAAGATTACTCCATTTCTGGTAGAGAATGCAGCAGCCTGTATGCTAGCAGGTAAGAGACACCTTTTGCATACACCTGTGTTACAGGTGCTGCATTGGTTATCAGAAAACTCCCAAATACAATTTGAAGGGCTTGTATTTGACCTTCAAAGTTCTACATGGCTTGACAACTGGATACCTGCAGGACAGTTTATTTCAAACCGATCCTACCTATCCAGTTTGCTCATCCAAGGTAGGTGTGCTGTGGGATCCTCCTCTGCAGGAGATTCAGGGGAGAACAAGAAAGGAATATTTTTCTGGGACAATGCCCATTCTTTGGAACAACCTCCTGCATGAAATCCAGATGGCGCCTTTGCTTCAGAAATGCCTTGAAAACAGAACTGCTGTTTAGAAGGCCATGTTGGGGCATATGTTCATTGGTTGCCTATTTATTTAATTTGGTTATATTTATTTACATTCATATTTTATTAGCTGTACTGCCCCCCGCCCGCATTCCATAGCACTCACCCGCCCGCTGGCCTGCTTGCGAGCCACCCAAGACTTGTGACTTCCCGCAAGCTTCCCCATTGACTTTGCTTGTTAGAAGCCGGCAGGAAGTCACAAGTCACAGTCATGTGAGTTCCTCACTTAATGACCCTCGATCCTCACTTAATGATGGCAACGAGGACTGCCGGGATTGCTGCCGCATCGCTTAGCGACAGAAATTCTGGTCCTAACTGCTGTCGTGACCCAAGGACTACCTGTACTGAAAATGGAGGAAGGGAAAGGGCAGTTGTCAGCCTTTGAAGATTATAAGTAAAATTTTCACACACTCAAAGGAGAAGCAAAAAAAGCCCCAAATCCACCATCTTTGGCAGTTTAGATTTCAGCTAATCTCGTACAAATGCAAAGCAGAAAGCACAGCTTCTAATCAGAACCACTGCCTGCTCATCATGGAAATGGGCCAAGGGCAAGCGATAGCTTAGGAAAATATTTTTGAAAAACGCAGGCATAGTGAAAATATAAGTAGCATGTGACCAAAATTCCCCAAGAAATGCACTATCAATCTTTCATACCCAGAGTCAATCCCAGACATTCAGAAAGACTTCCTGAGCTAGGGTATTTGCTTCATCAGGTATATCTGGGATGGCAAGATATAGGGAAAACTAAGCTACTATGGGAATGAGGCAAAGCAGGGTACCTAACGGGAGACTCGATATAAAGAAGCTGATCTTTAAAGCCCTCGTGTGCACATTCAGGTTCAAAACAGAGCAAACATCAGAGCATCAAAACAAAAGATGTGATGCGCAGCGGTGGAAAACCAAATACAGGATGCACTGAACAGGGGAAAATAGGAGAGAAGGAAACCCTGAGACGACCATGATCTGAGAAGAGACCATGGTGGTGGTAGAACAGCTAGTGACAGAAGTAGAAGCCTTACGTGAGAGTTTCTGGTAGGTCTTTCAGTGGGATGCTGGCCACCACTTTTAGAAAAGCATGGAAGAGTTCCACCTTGCAAATTCGAGACCTGTCAGTAATAGCAGAGCAAGTTCCAATCAGACACACTTTCTGGCAATGCTCTGGCAAATTCCCTTCACAAAAGACCACAACAATAGCTATTCCAAGACTTGTGTTTCTCTGCAAGATGCACAGCTACCAAGAGAACTGATGCTGTGGGATCAAACTGGTGCAGCTGGCAGACTACAAGAGAATCCAGTATCTGAATGCTTTACTGAAAGATATTCATTTAATCACTGCTGAAAAATCTTTTAAAAGATGTTCCTAAATCTCATAGTTCGGAATCAAGTACCAGGACTTTATTATATCAAGGGGCACCACAAATACCTAACCCAAATGACCTTGGAGGGCATAGAATGACACACATTGGTGATAGTTTGTGCTCAGTAACATCTCGTAGCTGTAGGCATCAACCTGTTTCTGAAGGCTGCATTTATGATAGCCTGGTTTTTACTGGCTGGTGGATAAATCTTGCATGCATCAAATCCGATGCTTTAAGCACTTTCACCTGTTGCCATCCCAACCTTCAGTGTTACAATGGGTATTGCAGATGACTACTGATTGACTATGTACCATCGAGTCAACATTTACTCTTAGCAACCACATAGACAAACCCTCTCCAGAATGACCATACTTGGGGCAAAATATTCCTTATGTGCCCATTCACAGCTGCATATGCTGATTAAGAGATTGTTTATAACCCTACAGTTTCTCACCAACTATATTTGTTTTCTAAGCAAAAAAAATGCACATCTCCACTCCTAGATGTTGAAACCCTTGTACAAAAAAGGCTTTCCTCCTAGCAATTAGACAGAACCTCTATAAAAACTAACCGAATTTGGTAACGTAGTTCTACCTAGCTCATCCTCCCTCTCAAACTCTACTGCCTTTCAGAGTTAAATATTAGTGTCTGTCAGCTGTAGAGTTGCCAGTAAAAAAACACCAAGGTGCAACACAAATGTATATAAAGGTTCTTTGAGTCTTGTTGCTTTATCACCTCCCTATGTGCTCCCAAATTACTCTAGACCTTAGCACAAATCTTTTCACAGCTGCAAAGTTCAGACAGGAATTCATACTCTATTACATTAGCGTGTGTGTGTGTGTGTGTGTGTGTGTCAGGTGGATTTGTTCCTTATTAAATGCCCACTTTTATTAATTGCTTTCTCATACACAAACCCCATGTGGGAGGAGGTAATTGCAGTTTGCTTCATATGACTGTCCTAAGAACACCAACCTCAATCAAGGTGTTTTCACCAGACAACCAGCATGGCTCCAGAAAGCAGTCAGCAAAAGCTGTTCGTTAGCTTATGCAAAGCTTTAAAAAATCTGCTCCAACCTCCACCTTTTCTCAAGCAACCCAATGATCCAGTGTTTTGCCATCTGAGTGGCTGGCCTATTGGACTGCAACAAGGACACTTCAAGCCCTCTTTAGTCAGAGCAGAGACACACTGGAATTTGTTGGCAAGAAGCGGCACATGACATGCCAAAGTAATAAGTGAGGCACAACCAGGAAATTAAAAATCCATCCATCGTCAGGCAAACATTTAATAACAATAACTTGGATCCAAAACCATCAAATAAAGACTCACCTGCAGAGACTGCCTTCATAGTTTCTATATTTAATCAATCAGCTAATCTATATATTGATGCAGGCTTTCACGGCCAGCACCAAGCACAAGAAGTATGCTACAGAGCAGACCACTTTCCCCTCTGAAGATGCCAGGCAGAGTTGCTGGCGAAACTTCAGGATATCAATAATTAGACCATGGCCTGTTAGTCCAGAAGCTTATCACCACTGAATCAACTAATCTATTTATCTCATGGACCCATAAACTGTTCAGAGTTTTACAATCTGATCTCCTAACCCTTCTTAGGACATTTTGCAAAAGTGATGGCAGTTTTACATTTCTTTTATAGCAGACAGAGCAAACAGCTGCCCAAATGTGGTTCCCATCTATCCTACATTCCCCAGATCATCCACCACCACCACCACCACCACCACCACCACCACCACCACGAGTTGAAAAATTCGGCCTTGTTCACTCACATGGTTTAAAGGGGCAAAACAGAAATTTAAATCTCCATTTTACCCTCTTAACACACTTCTGCTCACTCCTTACACCATTTTTTCCCCCAATGACGGTTTTAAGGGGCCAAAATGTGTTCTTAAATTTATCCCAATATACTGGCCATACTCATTTTGACGACACCAGAAAATCAAGTCAAGCCCCTACAGAACTCGAAAAATCAGAAATTTTAAAAGTCCACAGTCCCTGGCTGCCAAAACATTGCCCACAGCTGATCTTTGGGAACAGTGTGGCAGCACAGGCAAGAGGAGAGGAAGGAATCTTCAACAGAGAATGGTTTCTGTTTTCAAAAACCAACCATTCTGCAATTTTTCCTCTTGACGAAAGGAAAATATTTCTAATATTGATTAGTGAAGCTCTTTGAGTCCAATAGCATGGATTCTCAGGGGCAAGTTTCCACAAAGTCAGCTTGTAAAAGTCAAATTCAGTGCTAGCACATATAAGACCCACACACTATCCTGTGCAAATAACTAGGGAATAAGCCAAACACTCCGTTTTTTAAAGAGAAATCCAGAATGAAGTTTATTGAGAGCCAGAGCACAAATCCTCTTTTTCTTCACACAGGGAGATCTCCCAAGGATTCTTTCTCTCACCCTCTCCCTCTCCCTCTCACACACACACACACACACACACCCCTACCTCTGTGACACTCCACGCTCAACACAAAGAGGTCTAGGCAGAACAGGCAATAGGCCAAGAAGGGCTGTGCTTCCAGCATTCGTACGTACCTGGATGTCAAGCTTCCGATCCTTTTCTTGGAGGTCCCTTGTCTAAAACCACGTGAAGTGACATCTAATGGGTGCTCTGGGACAGCACTCCAGCTGATAGCTGGAAAATGGGATGAAGAAGTTACTTTCAAAGAAACAAGTGCCGTCTCTATCACTGCAGTACAATTCCTTCAGATGATTCCTTCAGATGATGAAACATAGTTTTTATGGTTTTTGTGAACCACCCAGAGTCACTGGGAATCAGGCAGTATACAAATTTAATGAAGGAATAAGTAGGCTTGGGACCAGGTTACCTGAGGGACCGTCTTTTCCCAGTTGTTTCTACCCGTCCAATCCAATCCGGCAGGATGGGCATGCTCTGGGTCCCATCAGCCAAGGAATGTCGGCTGGCGGGGACCAGGAGATGTGCCTTTTCTGCTGTGGCGCCTGCCCTCTGGAACATCCTCCCTCCTGAAATTAGGATGGCCCCGACGCTTTTGGCTTTTCCGAAGGCCTTGAAGACCTGGCTTTATGCCCAGGCCTGGGGCGCCAAGTGTGCGAAGCGCCCCATTTCATGGTTGTGCTGACACAGACAGTTTTTTAAGATCTCTTGGCTATATTTATATTCAATTTTCTGTATTGTTTTAAGTGTTTGTTTTTATTATTGTTAGCCACCCAGAGTCACGGGTCTGAGATGGGTGGCTATATAAATTGAATGAATAAATAAATAAACGAAATGACAATTCATCAGGCATCGGTAGCTCACCACCTAATAACATATGTTCATCTATCAAGTGAGCACAAGTGCAACATTCACCTAGAAGGATAAAAACTCACCTTCTTCTTTGTCATTAATCAAGCCTTCTCCTCCCGTATGTATCTAGCTCATCAGTTACATGCCCTTCACATGTCACAGTGAGCTCCACTGGACATTGTCAACATGGGAAATTGCTCCAAAGACCAGTCTCAGCTTGCACAGCTTTTGTAACACACCAAAGATGCATCTCCCGCAGCAAACCAAGTCACCCCAACCTATCCTACTAAGCAAGGCTACGAAAAGGCCAACAAGAAGCTTCACAAGCGCACCCTTCCTCATACAGCCTCAGTGACATTTACCTGCACCACAGGACACTACTTTTCCTTGTCCTGGAACATGGCCAGCCTTGACTGCCTCACGGCTATGGCTGAAACATAGCTGGGACTGTAGAATTTCCAACTCTTGAACCTGGAAACCATCTGGCAAATGCGAGACAACATGACACCTATGAAGGAGGAGAGGAAGAATGTATCCTTCGTTGAGCAATAATGAAAGGTCATCCATTTGGATTAAGAAAGCAAATACGTTCTGGCCACATCTCTATGTACATGTGGGGACAGACTGTGAATAAGTAAAAGAATCTTGAAGAAAAATGGCCCAGGGATGTTACCAGGAAGGCTTATTTTTTAAAACAACCCCTCTCCAAATCCTTTAAGATGTCAACCATCCAGGAGCTTGCTAGCATAAGAAGAGCAGAGAAGCTAGGGCTGTGGGCACACGCATAATTTTCATCATGAACAACCTCCATACACTCAAGAGATTGTTTGCTCTTCCAGATAACTAGACCTCTTGCCTCCCCACCCCAACTACTCCAGTACTGAGTGTTTACAAAAGGGGCAGGTATCACTATCCTCTGGTGCTTGTGCATCTAGCTACCCAAGATTAGCATATGGAGCAGGAGGACTGCAAGTGCTGTGTTCTTCCACCACAGTCTCCTGGTCATAACTCACTCACCTTGCAACAATGGCCCGGTGCAAAGCCTCCTGACTGTAGGGGCACTGACCCACCACCATGGCTGACACATAGACAGGCTGCTGCAGGAAATGCATCAGAAGTGCTCCCTGCCAGCCAAGTACATTCCAGCGTGCCAGCTTATCACTGCAAGACATGGAGGCTGTCTGGGCTCCACGGCCTGGCTTGATCCGTAGAAGTCCTGTGGTGTGATATTCAATGCCTGGCCTTCGGGAATCAGCTGCCTCTCCTGGGACACATTTGGCCCCTGTTCTATGGAGATCCACTATTTGGGCTCCTCTAAAGGGATTGGCTGAGATCTTGGAATTATTTGTAGAATCACTAGCAGCCATTCTTGGTCTCTTGGGAGAGGAACTAGCTACTGTTTCTTCAGTCTCACTTTTCAAAGTCTCTTGTGCCCTGAGGTCACTGCTGCCCATTCTGGGGACCCTTGCTGGGCTCAGGGGCAAACATGGCTGGGCATCCATTTCGATCACTGGGATAATAGAGCCATCCCCACCTACAGAAAAAGAGAAGGGTGGACAATTTAGAGAATAGAAGAAGAGCCACATATTTTTCCTCAACAACAGAGAAAAATTCTCTAATGATAAGGAGCAGTGTCTTGGTGAGAGGCCAACCTAGGCAATTTCCTGAGAAATCTAGGCAATTTCCCTTTATTATTAAATTCCATTGAAATAAAAGCACAGGAACAAAAATATCTTCTAGGAAATAGGAATACACTAACAATACTGCCTCAACAGACTGTATTACGCATAAAAATAACTGAGCTAGAACCACCACTAACTTTCTATGAACAGATTTAATGGTCTTCTGGCCAGAGTATGTGTAATATGCCAAGACATTCCCTGCAAGCATCAGTGACATTTCAGTCACACAAAAAAGTTACTTTAGAAATGGAAAAAATTGGATAAATCTACTATTATTCAAAATAGCAACAGAAGTCAACAGCCACAATATAGTATCCAAACAGTGAGAACTGGATCTACCAGAAGCCAAGAGTATTGCTGTAGGGCTGGTTTTTTAATAAAAAACTTGTTTGAATGACTTTATGATTTCATAAACTAAGTATATGTAAATTAGAATAATTTTTAAAATTTAAATTGACTTGAACTCCTCTTACTTCTGCACTTTTACATATATTTATTTAAAACTTTATGTTTACAATAATCAAAGCAATAGCATAGTATTTATAACAGAGTAAACACATATCAGTCATCAATATTGTAATTTTTTTTACATTTACAGTACTGTGCAAAAGTTTTAGGCAGGTGTGAAAAAATGCTGTAAAGTAAGAATG